AAGAAACCTGAAGGACAGATGACATCTTACCATGGTACAGACTCAGGGCTCCCACCTGTGATTTATTCCTTCCTAGAAGAAGGCCCAGATGGGGATTTAAGATGTAGTGATACATCAAAGGGCCTATAAGGATAGATAAGAAGTGAGATAAATAGGAATGGCTTCTCCTAGTGGGACAGTATTTGTTAAATACATCTTGAGAAGAAACCCACTAGTTCCTTGCTACAAGAAAATTTGAATAAATTTAACAAATACACATCAGTTTTGTGTGATGCTCCAGACCAGTAGTAAATTTCCAAATAGGTTCTAATCTCTGAGCAACAATAACAGTTTTTCTTGGTTTTGAAAGAGTTGGTGAAGGTTTATTCAGGGTAGCAATGGCCACAAAAAACACATAATGCTTAGCTTTATTTTAATTCACAGTTCTCATATCGCTGAGACGCAAAGCTATAAGGGTCATTTGCTTAAAACTAAACACCTTTACACAGAAATATTTCTCCTGCCAACCAAAAGCTCTGAAGACAACACCTGGGTCTTGAGAAGAGCTGAGTAAGGCTATGGAGCAGGGAGGCAACAGCAAGTGTGTGCAAACCAGTGACAGAGACAAGAAGGGATGCTGTCACCTCTGGGTGCTTGGAAGCTCACATCACACTTGGCTCCTGTTAAGGACGGGGAACCTAACACAACCAGCGATACCGTCAAAGAAGGAAGAGAGAGTCCACGGGGAAACTCAAGAAGGCAGAAAAGTGAGGTTTCAATGTTTTCTTCCCCTACCTCATTCTACCAGTGGTGCTCATCAGCTAAGGAAAGGAGGAGTCATCATCTCATACCTGAGCACTGAAACACTTCCTCATGCCCGGGATGCACACGAATTCCCTCATATGCCCCTAGAACATTATTTAAATAGTTGGGTACAAAATACCTGGAAGCTCCATTAGCTTTGGAGTAACTTCACTTTCCTGAGGGAAGAGGCAGGAGCTAAGAGGAGGGTGAAGCTGGAGAAAACCCAACTCATCCTATCATGCATTTCTCCCTTTCATAAGGTGCTTGTTGCAGGCTTTTCAGAGGAGCAAACGCTAGCCTGAGTGCTACGAGAAAGACTTGTTTACAATACAGACCCGTGGGTTGAAACTGAGAACTGGGCCATCAGGATCATCCTAATAATGATGCTCCGAGAGAAAGGATGCATTGCACCTTCCCCTCTCTCATTCACAACTACACACCCGGTACAGGCTGCAAATAATAATAAAAAAAATCCTTCACAAGTCAGTGAGTGCTTATGCCATGAGCATAAGATGCAATTGCCTTTATTTTAGTATAAATGTCTCAGTTATACTTCATGTGCAAGCAACATCCCTTTGGGTAGTGAGCTACAAATTGCTTTTTCCGCCCACTCAAGCAGACATTTCCAAAGGACAGCACGGAGCACATCACCCTCCCTTCTTGAGCAGGAAGGGGAGCACAAGACCTGCCTGTAGGGCTCCCTCAGGGTTATGGTGTGTGTTGCAGACTGAGCAGGCAACAGAAAAGAAAGTTGGAGGCAGAAGTGAGACGTTTGTAAGTCTATCTGGGAGCAGGAGCAGGCCAGCTCGTTCCCCAGAGATCAGGACTGGCAGTGCAGTGGTCACAGGGCAGCATTTCCCAAATGCCGCTGATCCACATCCTGCCCCCAAGTGATTTTATCAGTTGCGCTCTTCCTCCTCCCAACTGCAACTCAGCTGTTCCTGAGCTGCAACCAAAGTAGCGCGGATCCCCGTTCCTTCCGCAGGGAGCTTTTCCCACTGAGCTCCCGCTGTCCCTCCCCCCCTGGGAAATGCTGCTAAAGGAAATACTTTGGGAATATGGGAATAAAGCCAGATACAGCCCTAGGCAGAGAGAAGACTTTCCACACACGGAGCATGAGACAGCAAAGGGCAGATACATTGTGATGGGGAAAGCATGCAACAGAAAGGGGAGAAGGCATGGAAATAACACTACATTTGGACAGTGCAGTAACAATATCCTGAAGTTAGGAATTAAAGCAGTTCTAGATGAAAACCCTCCTGCAGTAACCTGTTTAACTCTTTGCAGAATAGGAAGAGGAGATCTAGTGGCTGATGAGGACAAGAGACTTGACCCATGGTAGAAAATGGCTTGCAGGGTAACCTAAATCAAAGGTAGGTTATTTAAGTGGACTTCAAGAGATCACAAAAAAATTCAAAACATAAATTAGAAGACTTGTGAAGACAAGAAACCAAATAATTTTAAGAAGCAGTAAGAGGTTGTTCGGAACGGACCATACAGTGACTGTACAGCTACACAGGAGCATTTCTGAGGACAGTGTGATGCAAGTCCCTGGCTATCTGATACGCGTGATTTTGGAGAGGTGCTGAAAGGATACTGGAGTGCTCTATTTTTGTAACGTGATAATCCTACACGTTGGCTTTCACAGCCTGTCTGTGGTGAGCAAGCTCTTCTCTTGCTCCTTTGATGCATCATTTGGCTTCTGGATTTTTGTTAGTATTTTTTCCCTTGCTTTTTGTTTGGTTTTGCCACCCTCTAGGGTGCTGACAATTGACCACATCCAGACAGAAGATGTATGGCAAACTACATTGGTGCTCATAACGTTGCATTTTACCAGTGGCCTGGCTGGTATGTCCTGTCCACATGCTTAAGGGTTAAATTCAGCATTAGAGGTCAGAAGGAAATCCCTTTCTTCTCTCTCCAATTACCCTGCTCTATTTTTTGAGAGGATGTCATGGTTTCAGTCCCTTTAGCTTTCTTCCAAAGGAACGTAGCAGTTTTTAGTCTTTAAGACTTAATTTTGTCACTGCTGGGTAAGACTTTGTTGGCCACGTGTGGCAGTGGGAAGAGCACGTGTTGTGGGGACCTTTCTGAACCAGACATCCCTTGCAAGCTCAACTACAGAAACGTGTTTGAGGGTGGGACACAACAGCATCTTTTGGTCCTAACCTCCCTCAGGACCTAAAAACACTTTATCACCTTTAAATTTAGTCTTCAACAGTAGTATTAATCTGTGAACTGTATTTAACAGCTTTGTAGTAACTGCCGAGTAAAATGCTATAATCAAATAGCATGAGGAATACACAGCATTCCCAACATCCTCCAAAACATACTGACATCGATTTCATCATTCCAGCTTAAAACGCAAACCCAGATTTTTCAATACCTGGTTTCTGCCACTAGCAAATACCTTGATCCCTCAAAAGGAAGTGACTTTCTCTGCCATTCGTCTGTAAGACAAGCGCACAAGATGCAGCCAAAGTGAAGGGAGGCTCAGACTGAAACTTTAAACAACAAAGATTCACTGTGTACGACCATTTTACTCGCTTTAATAAAGCATTCCCCATAGCGTTGATGGAGAATTCCTTAATTCCTTAATGTCACAGAATCTCAGTTATTCTATGGTGGGTAATACAAAAAATGTGTCTGTCCTGGTTTTGCTGGGATTGAATCATAGAATTCCCTTTTTTGGTTCAACAGAACTGCCTGTCTGAGAGAGCTGCAGTGTTAGATTTGGTGAAAACAAGTTGGTATTATAGACGTTTTCCTGGCATTAGCTGGTGAGAGTTTTGATTTGGATTTATGCGAAGAGGACTGCTGATAGTGCACAATGTTTTGGTTCTGGCCAGTGAGGTGTACACTAATTCAAGGTTTGTTTTTCAGTCTTTGCCTACACTTGTGTTCATTTTTTTGTGTGTGTGGGGGGGGTTTTTTGGGGTTTGGTTTTTTTTTCCCCTTCACTTTGCACAAGAGGATGGGGGGAGGTGAAAGCCCAGAATTTTCTGGGACAAATGATCTGGGTGTGATCCAAGCTGACCAGTAAAACGTATTCTCTGCCATAATCATCACACTCACTATAGACTGAGGAGTTGTTGGGGTCTGCCATTCTTTCTCTCTCCTTCTTTGCATGGCAGCTGTCTTGTCTAACCTATCTGGTTCCTGGGACTTACCTCTCCCTCATTGCATTTTCCCTGGTGCACAGCCAGCAACTGCTGTTTGTGAGCCCAGTGTAACTTTGGCTGCTTTGTTACTATAGTTCCTATTTTTATTACAATTCATTAGTGATAGTATTATTTTTTCAGTTTGGTTTAATTATTAAATAATCTTTATCTCAACTGATTAATTCTCTTACGTTTCCATTTCTCTCCCCCACCCCACTGGGGAGGGAGAGGGAGTGAGTGAGCAGCTCCCTGGTGTTTCGCTGCTTGCTGGGTTAAACAGTGACAGTATCTGTTAAACTTTTTACAGACACTGAACTAGATATCATCTAGCAGTTCATTTGCTTTACTGCTACATTAGATCTTCCTGAATTCGGTAGCTTGACCCAAGTTTCAAAAGCAAACAGGTTATCACTACTTTTGCCAAACTTGCGATGTCATTGATGTAATTTGGTATTTCTTTTAAATTACTTTAAATGTATTTTTTTGCATTATCAGTTTGTAAAATAGCAATAATTTAATCTTCCAAAAGTATAGCATGCAACGCTGTATTACATTTTTGCCAATTTTTTCAAGTTCCAGGTTATTTTTCTCTCTCTCTCCACTTTGGATCACAAATTGATGCAACTAACAGTTTGAAAAAGACTGCGCACAAAAAAAAGTTCTCTGCACTCCCACTGAAAAAAGAAAAACAAAATAAAGCAAAAAACTGTCGAGAACGATGTCCCAGTACCATCAACTGTCTTGAATTCAGCCGTCATAGTTCAGGCACTATGTAACCACGCGTATTATAGTTGCTTCTGTTTTCTTGGGATCTGCTGTATACCTACTCCAAAAAAGGTAAGGAGATGATCAGTAAATACAGACATGCGATAAAGTGTACAGTTGTAACTGAAAAAGGGTACAAATGTGATACTCGGAGGAGTGCAGACACTCCAGAGCATCACATTGAGCAGCACATGCCTCTAGATGCATTTCCAGATGCACACCCTCCATGTCTTCTCTTCCCTAATCCTGTCATTCATACAGCTATACGCATAAAAAACACAAAGACACTGATTTACATAAAATTATCTCACTCCATTTTATTTAAGATTTTCTTCTCCAGTTAGTAAAAGAAAGATGTGTCTCTCTTTATACATATGTACAAGTTCAGTTATAAAAATAGACAGCACATTCAAAGAGAAAAAAAGGCTTGGCATTTGTCTGATTCCCTCTAAATATCATATATACATGTGAATAAGAGGGGAAGGGGGAAGTCTTCTTGAGTTAATTAAACACCACCTCCCCCTCAATTATCCCCTGCAAATCTGTTTAAAAATCAATCTAACTAAGCTCAGTTCTGCTATTTTCAGGTGTGCAAATTAGAGGCAGAGCCAACAGGAAGCACTCGCTCCACACTGTAGGACGCCAGGCAAAGGATTTGGGGTTGGAAAAAAATTATAATAATTAAAAAAAGTCATCTTCTGCTGTCACAGCCCAGACCTGCAACTCGACTGGCTTCTCTCTCAAGGGATGAAAGTGCCCCAGCAGAACAGCCTTTTAACTCAACGTGTCAGACAGAAGAACTGCCCCACACCTAAATCTCAGTGCAATGCAGACAACGCTTACAGCAAAGCAAGGGGCGACGGGGGCAGGGGTTGTGCATTGAGAACGGGGAAGGAGCAACTGGAGAATGAGAACAGAGATGGGCACTGGCAGCGCTGCCTTGTATCGGCCTTACGGGACACAGTTACTGGTACCCGCACACCACAGTGAACTCAACCACGCTACTACGTGTGATGACCACAAAGATGAAGTGAGAACACACTGGAAGGACAGTCAATGGATGGCTGGGGTACAAGACCACTCTTTACCCAGAATTTGGCTGGAAGAGGGAATGGCACAGTTGTCTCTCTCTCAGGACTGTCCTTCATTGCTCCCCTCACAGCACTGCAAAGCTGCAAAACCACGCTCTGCTACGGCACAGTGAGAGGAGCAGCAGCAAAGTCTTCGTCAGCACTTCAGCTTTCCCTCCTGAGATTTGTACAAATAGAGCCTTATTTTGTTTCTAAGCTTTTAAGAATTCTGCACAGCTCAAAAGCGAGAGAAATCATTCTGAACACAGTGAGCGCTGGTGCTGATGAGAACTCTGAAACACAAACCAAACCACTGGCTTGTAGTTTCTTCCAACAGAGCCAGTGCTGCTGCTCTCACTGGGCCTGCCAGCACTCTGTCTTCTGCAGCTCAACCTGTTTCTGACAGATGGTGCTGAAAAGAGTCCATTTCCTGGAAACCGCCTGAGACACCTTTTGTGTTTAAAACCTTTAAAAAACCCAGAGGCCCACACTAGGAGAATCCAAGATTTTTTTTGATCACACATCTTCACCTTAGCCTCCAATTGCCCACACGTGTACGCTGACCAGCTGCCAGTACAGAAATGTCTTCTGACTCTACAGGATACTCCTGGGGTTCAGATGCTGATTTTATAGGATAAAACTAACACTGCGTTCCACCTCAAGCTACAAGAGCGAAAGTATATGGGTGTAACTTCAAGCACACACAGCTGCAGGATATTGCATGGAGTAGCTGGATGCTTTTTTGGGAATCTTTGTCAGATGTGTCAATAAAACACAAGCTGACGCTCTCCCAGTTACTCCAGACTCCCTTCCCTCCTTCTTGCAGCGTCTGCAAAGATAGTTTTTTTTGGAATACACATAATCAAAGTGCTCACATAAACCACCCACTCCCATTGTGCTTTGATTTTCTTTCCACACGTGCTGGACAGCAACAAGGCATTCATTTGCATGCCTTCGACTGCAGGGTGGTCCACTCTGAAAGCCAACACAGTTCAGATAAGCTTTGGGGGTTCAAAATCACTACCGACCACCTGAGGTGTGGGCACCTTTGCTCTGCTTCCGAATTGAAGTTTCTGATATGAGACTGCTGGTCAAGTTCAAGCTTTTGGGGGTCCCACAAACACTGTTTCCTTTGCTCAAAGGGGAGCTCAAGGGCGAAGAGGCGCTTGAAGGTCCAAAATCTGCAAGTCCAGAAGGACGAATAATTGCTGTCTGTAGAGGGCTACTTGCAGACATGCCTAGCAATAGAAAAGAGAATCAAATTCCATGTGAGCACGTTATTCCACTTGTGGCTCCTCAACAACACACAATATACTAATGATCAGTCCTAAGACCACCCCGCATTCATGATTTATGAGACTTTAATGAAGAGGGATGTCCTTCAGATACAAAACATCTTGCACTTATACCATGGGCTACCTTCAGCTGGTGTAAAGCTGAAGCTCCCCTCACCATCAGTTTAGCAGATTTTGAAACCTGATACTCTACGTTCAATGTGACTGCAATGCAGCAAAGCCACAGCCATGGGATAAACGACACTATCTGATTTGTCTGGACAACAACATAAAAAACAAGAGCAAAAATATCTGGTATGAGATAATTCAAAGGGCAGATGAAACTTCTGCAGGACTAGCCTCTCAAGGTCATCTGTGGTGGCACTGGCTATCCTCATACCATTACCATGTCACACTGTGTACTGCCTGGATCTCAGAACATAATGGACAAGCAATACCAACAATACAACACTTTTTATCTATTTTTTTGGCAGGCTGTACACAACAACCACCCAATCTCATGTGGTTGGTTCTGCTCTGGGTAGTCTGCTACCTCCCTGTCCCCACATACCTTTAGAGACGTTGTACCCGTACGCTGCATATGCTGCTGCAGATGCTGCTGCCGCCCCTGCTTTGGCACCTGCCATTGCAGCTGCACTTCCTGCTATCGATTTCCGACTTCTGCCTTTCCCAGTGCCACCTTTTGATCCACTGTTCGAACCTTTAGGACGACCCCGGCTTCGACCTGACTGGCCTCTCCCACTGAGAGATGTATCTTGCATTGAAACACCTTTAAAAGAAAAGAATGTTAAACAATAACTGGTATAGTATTTCGGATGACTCACAGATGAATACAGCATCACAACTACCTACCATTTACATTAACACTGTCCCTATTAACTGATACTTGTCATTTACATTAATATGGACACTGTTAGCAAGCAGTGATCCCATGAACCACATCTTACTAATTTAAACTACTTGTCATTATTATAATAAACAAATAATCCTCCACAAATAGGTGGAGGATTCTGGGTTCTACTTCAGGATGAAGCATTTTCTCAAGTGAAGATAGGGATGAAGTTTTGTCAATTTGCTGCCTCTAAAGAAACTTGTCAAGGACTATGGCTTTACTTATTTCAGTGTAGAAAACTGTGGCAGTTAAAAATTATTTAATATTACAGCTGCTAAAAATTATTTAATATTACAGCTGCTCCAATCACCCATTGGAAATAGAGAAATGATGATTAGCCCAACAGCAAATTCAAGGAAAATCTTACAGATTAATAGCTCTGTGGTGTCTATAATTGGTAATATGGACATAATGGAAGGGGCACCCTCTGTAACACAGGAACAAAGGATGAAACTTTTAAGAGAAACACAGAAAAGAGGAAAGTGTGGTGAATGAGAGACTACAAACAGATTTCCTATCAAGTCAGAAGTAATTTCTCTATGAAAAGGCAGTTTTCCCTCAAATCTTGCCAATGATGCATATACTCTGGTTAAAATACAGAAAATGTATCACCTAGCCAGACAAAGTCAATGTTTAATGAATGTTAGTAGTAAGCCAGGGCAAAAGCACTGACCATTCATGGTATCTGAAACCGAGCCAGTAATGGAAGCAGGAGAGTTCGTTGCCCTTGACTGCGGTGCTGAAGAAGCTGGATCATCCACAATCACAAGCATATCACTACTGCTCTCATCAGGAGGGATAGAGCCCATATGTAATTCACTGCTGATGGATATCTAAACATGACAGAGAACAAAGCTGTTAGCTTCTCAGGTTAGGAAAGGGAAGGGTACAAACATAACAAGATCTTTAAAAGATACACAGTCACCAGTAATTAATTGGTACTTGTTCTATCTTCTCTCATTTTCTCTAGATAAAACTAGCAGCAGGATACATAATCTGCCTAATCTCACCACACCCTCTTTTTACATGTCCTCAAGGAGCTACTTAATTTCAATTCACGAGAACAGAGGTTAAGTTAAGAAGCAGGAGACTAATATTCTCAGCAGAGATTTTAGAAAGCAGCTGTTCAACTACGCATCTCCAACAGCAAAACAGAAATCGACTGGATTCTTAATCTAGTACTACTGCTAATAAAAAGGGGTCAATAACGGAACAATACAACATAGGAATCTTAATCAACACTGTATAGAACAAAATACAGTTGCTGCCAAAACCAGTTTGCAATTCTTTACAAAAAGATGAAGGAAAGCAAGATGTTTGTCACTGAAAATTTACAATTTAAATTCCAGAAAAAACCCCCACACTAATTCAGAATCAGAAGCAAGGAAGGAAACAAAGAAGGAGATGCAGATGAAACTAGTGAGGAGTACTTGCGAGGAAACTGAACATCAAGGAGCTATTTGAGGGATACTGTTTGGTTCAGGAGGGGAAAGAGACCGTTCTTGCTAGGGAAGAAGGCACATGGGTATAAATGCGAGCACGACAAAGACAGGAAAAAGGGAGAAGGAAGTAGGAAGAAAGTAGGTGGGACTGCAGGCAGGAATGGAAACATTTCAGGGGCTGAAAGGCAGGAGAGTCAGGGCATGAACTCGCTGTGAGAAAAGAGGCAGAGCAAATGAAGAGGGGAATAATGGAATATCAAATAACATGAGGAGCTATAAGGCAGCTTATCAGTAGCTGTTGTGTTTTCAAGAAATTAATTTTCATCATGCACCTTTAAGACATCTCACTTTCCCACATACTCAAAGTTCTACACTAGCTGAAATAACAGAAACAAGAATCCTACAAGTATGCAAGGTCACAATTGAAATAGTACAGAGCTTAAAGCAGCAGTGAGTCCTACCTCACTGAAAGGGCTGGGCATGGCAGAGTCTACACTAATGAAGGAGTCGTCCCCATCAGCAGACAGGTTGGAGTTATCAGCTGAGGGAACAAATGGGATTACAAGGTTCATGCCCTCTTTCTTTCTCTTCCCATCCAATTCATCTTCCTTCTTCTTCTGAAATAA